ATACTATAATATATATATTATATATTCTATATATATAAAATTTGCTATATTTTAATAACGATTTACATTAAAATATTTTATATATATCGAATTTTTACGGTATTTTGACACGTATTGATCTAATTTTTGTACTTATATGATGTAATTTAACATTTATTTATTTTGTACGATGTTCTTGGAGAGATACGTGATTTCTCTTTTTTTGTCTGTCAAATTCCTCGCGCGGATGCTGTTCGCCGCGCAAAGTTGTAAATTGGGTCGGCTTCGCTTTAACTACTCCTAATTGTTGGCGCGGCTAAAAATAGCCCGCGATTTACCCGGAAAATCGTGCGGATGATACCGGACATTACTCCGCATATATTTGTCGCATACATTTCCGCTATAATTGTGACTCGGGGTCAAGGGTTCGCGCGCTAAATTCCCGCGTCCTTCGATAAGACAAGTGCGTTGTTTTTTTTTCTTACTTTGAAATGGTAGAACATTAATATTATTGATTTCCTGGGTGTGTAAAATATGTAACAGTACAAGACATTAATCGCTAAAATTATTGTAAAGCGTGAAAATGTTGCGACAGATCATTTGTCGAATTTTGATTCATAACTACGTTAAAAATATTCGCATTTTTAAGTTTAATTTCTCAAAATTTCTTTATCAATTTTTCGCTTACATTTTTATTTGCTTTAATAATTCCGCGACATTGACAATTCGATATAAGATAATATTTACAATTTTGTAATTTAATTATAGTCCACAGGGCAAATCTTTACTTCACAAATTAATTATTAATTTTATATTTTAAAAGACTAAAAGTACTTTGTGCGCAATGTCAAATTTATGAATATCGCGAAATGTATTAGATTCATTATCACTTTTGACGTATAATTGATTCAGTCCCTCCTTAATTCTTAAAGAGAGAGAGAGCTAAAACTCTACTAAATTAAACTCGTTAATATATCGAAAATAAAGTAAAATCTCGATACACGTATACGGAAACTCTGGAAAAAGATGCAAAAACCTCTCGAGAGCAGAAGCCTTGAAATTCTCGTTCCGCTCGCGAGGCTGGCGTTCCTCGGATATCCGCGCCACGGGGATAAGAATCGCGTTTTGCGGTCGACCGGTGCACAGGGTCGTCGCCGAACACGTGCACGCCGTCACGTAGATAGATAGATAGAGGTAGGTAAATAGGTAGAAGAGAGAGAGAGAGAGAGAGAGAGAGAGAGAAGTTTTTTTGTTTTGACCTTGAAAATGACCTTGTCGCAAATTTTCATTATCATATTCGTAATCAGCGTTCAAAAATACAAAAAATAATGTAGTTTCAAAAAAATCGGAGGGTTCACCTATTCGGAACTCCACCCTTTCTTTCAAACATCTTCGTCAGAGAAAATTTCGAGGTCTAATATCTTAAGAATAAAGAATAAAGTCTTAAAAGATCGAATCTCTGAGAATCTTTACAAGGTTCTATCGCGGACAAAAAGGGATTTGTAAGGTATAAACAAAGTTTTCGGATGTATATGACCTTTTCTTTATCATTTAACATGCGTAGAATTCGTGCCATTCTCTGGAAGGGAACGTCTTGTATCGTATATGTTCGTTTCTCGCGAATATCTTGCTTTCAACTTTCGACCAAGTCTTTCGCACGTGCTGTCGCAACCACCACCGTCGGGTTACGACCGGGACGGGTTGTATGCACCCTGCAGCGAGAGTGCAGAGCGAGGTGCAAGGTGCATGCGAGCTCTGACCCAGATCGCGCGGTCGATATTCCCTGGCCCAGATCCGCTTCCTGAGATTGATATTTTTTCCACGCAAGCTCGACGACGACGACGACGATTGATCGTTGCCGCGACACACGAAATTCTACATAGATTTCTTTATTCATTAGCCTCTTGTACTGGCCCAGTTGATGTTGATGTTGATGTTAAATTCGATATAGTGTTTTATATATGTTATGAATATTCTACAAATATTCATAAAACTTGTCAAATATAATATGTGGTATAAATTGTGTGTCACCTCGGTTTAGCAAGATTAAAATAAGGGTCTTTACTTCCTGGAAAAACATGGAGAACTTGGAATATACAGTGTAGTTCATATTTTTTATTGCAGTTTTTAATGATGAAAAAAAAAAATTATGCAAATAAAAATATTTTAAATCTAGCACTTGAAATTTAATTGACTCTATTTTTTTTTTTTCGTATGATTGAAAAGCATACGAAAACGAACACAATAAAAAAATTTATTTTAGTACATTGCACCCAAAAAATCTTTAAAAAAATTCTCTTTATCAGTATTTTGAACAAAAATATGAAAGATCAGAGTATTTTTTTTTTTTTACAAAATTTGAGTAGACATCCCGAATAAAGACAACGAGTTTAAAGATACAGATTTTTCTTTTATATGGAGAAAAAGATATATCAATTCGAATCCGTATAATCGAAAGTATATTTTTTTCGAGGATGAATCTATTATTTAAGCGCAAGATTTCGATTTGGCTACGAGTTGTGCGTCGATACACGGTGTACCCGATGAACGACGACGACGAGGACGACGGCGAGTCGCCTCGGCGGTCGTCACTTTGCGCGTCGTTCGGCGAGGTCATGGTCAGGCAGCGTGCTGAAACCGAGAGTCAACAAACTCTGACGGCGGCTCGTTGGCGAACGAACGAACGAACGAGCGAGCGAGCGAGCAACCAGCTATCCGACCGGACAGTTAACC